ATAATGCGAGAACGGAAATTAGAAAAAAATGAAAAGAAAAAGAACGAACGAACGAACGAACCCGTTCCGAAAGAAAAGAAAGAAAGAACAAAAGAAAGAAAGAAAAAGAAAGAAAAAGAAAAGAAAGAATAAATGAAAAAGAAAAAAAAGTCTTTTAAAAGAAAGAAAAAAGAAAGAAAAATGAAAAAAAAATGAATCAAGGAAGAAAATGAAATTAAAAACATAGGAGATAATGCGAAAGAGAAATTAGAAAAAAGAATGAAAGAAGAAAGAACAACGAAAAGAACGAAACGAACGAAAGAAAGAAAGAAAGAAAAGAATAAAAGTTCCGAAAAGAAATAAAGAAAGAAAGAAAGAAAGAAAGAATAAATGAAAGAAAGAAAAAGAAAGAAAGAAAGAAAGAAAGAAAGAAAGAAAGAAAGACAAAAATGAATCAAGGAAGAAATGAATTAAAAAAACATAGGAGATAATGCGAAACACCCGAAAAGAATGAAAGAAGAAAAAACCGAACCATGCTGAACGAAAGAACGAAAAAGAAAGAAAGAAAGAAAGAAAGAAAAAAAAGAAAGAAAGAAAAAAGAAAAGAAAGAAAGAAAGAAAGAAATGAAATCAAAGAAAGAAAATGTGCAAGAAAGAAAAAAGAAAGATAAAGAAAAAAAAAAATAGAAAATGAATCTGTGAAGAAAAATGAAATTAAAAAACATAGGAAGAAAGAAAGAAACGGAGAAAACCAAAAGAATGAAAGAAAAAAGAAAGAAAAAAGAAAGAAAAAAAGAATGAAAAAAGAAAAGAAAGAAAAAAAATGAAAGAAAAAAAAAAAAAGAAAGAAAGAAAAAAGAAAGAAAGAAAGACAAAATGAATCAAGGAAGAAAATGAAATTAAAAAACATAGGAGATAATGCGAAACGGAAATTAGAAAAGAATGAAAGAAGAAAGAACGAACGAACGAACGAAAGAAAGAAAGAAAGAAAGAAAGAAGGAAAGAAAGAAAGAAAGAAAGAAAGAAAAATAAATGAAAGAAAAAAAAAAGTAAGAAAGAAAGAAAGAAAGAAAGAAAGAAAGACAAAATGAATCAAGGAAGAAAATGAAATTAAAAAACATAGGAGATAATGCAAATGAAATTAGAAAACGAACAAGAAGAAAGAAAGAACGAACGAAAGAAAGAAAGAAAGAAAGAAAGAAGGAAATCAAAAAGAAAGAAAGAAAAGAAAGAATAAATGAAAGAAAAAAAAGTAAGAAAGAAAGAAAGAAAGAAAGAAAAGAAAGACAAAATGAATCAAGGAAGAAAAAAAAAAAATAAAAAACATAGGAGATAATGCGAAAACGGAAATTTAAATAATGAAAGAAGAAAAGAACGAACGAACGAACGAAAGAAAGAAAGAAAGAAAGAAGGAAAGAAAGAAAAAAGAAAGAAAGAAAGAAAGAATAAAAATGAAAGAAAAAAAAAGTAAGAAAAAAAGAAAAGAAAAAGAAAGAAAGAAAGACAAAATGAATCAAGGAAGAAAATGAAATTAAAAAAATATAGGAGATAATGCGAAACGGAAATTAGAAAAAAGAAAAAGAAGAAAAGAAAAAACGAACGAACGAAAGAAAAGAAAGAAAGAAAGAAAGAAGAAAAAGAAAGAAAGAAAGAAAGAAAGAAAGAATAAATGAAAAAAAAAAAAGTAAGAAAAAAAAAGAAAAGAAAGAAAGAAAGAAAGAAAAAAAGACAAAATGAATCAATGAAGAAAGAAATTAAAAAAAACATAGGAGATAATGCGAAAACGGAAATTAGAAAAGAAAAAGAAAGAAGAACGAACGAAATTCGAACGAAAGAAAGAAAGAAAATCAAGAAAAAGGAAGGAAAGAAAGAAAGAAAGAAAATCAAAGAATAAATGAAAGAAAAAAAAAAGAAAGAAAGAAAGAAAGAAAGAAAAGAAAAGAAAGAAAGAAAAAATGAATCAATGAAGAAAATGAAATTAAAAAAATAGGAGATAATGCAAACGGAAATTAGAAAAGAATGAAAGAAGAAAGAACGAACGAACGAACGAAAGAAAGAAAGAAAAAAAAAGAAAGAAAGGAAAGAAAGAAAGAAAGAAAAAAAAGAATAAATGAAAGAAAAAAAAAAAAAAAGAAAGAAAAGAAAGAAAGAAAGAAAGAAAGACAAAAAAATCAAGAAAGAAAATGAAATTAAAAAAAACATAGGAGATAATGCGAAACGTAAATTAGAAAAGAATGAAAGAAAAAAAACGAACGAACGAAACGAACGAAACGAAAGAAAGAAAGAAAGAAAGAACAAAAAAGAAAGAAAGAAGTAAAGAAAGAAAGAAAAAAGAAAGAATAAATGAAAAAAGAAAAAGTGAAAGAAAAAAAAAAATCAAGAAAGAAAGAAAAAGAAAGAAAAGACAAAATGAATCAATGAAGAAAATGAAATTAAAAAACATAGGAGATAATAAACGGAAATTAGAAAAGAATGAAAGAAAAAAGAACGAACGAACGAACGAACAAAAAAAAGAAAAGAAAGAAAATCAAGAACAAAAGAAAAGAAAAGAAATAAAAGAAAGAAAGAAAGAAAGAATAAATAAAAAAGAAAGAAAAAAAAAGAAAGAAAGAAAGAAAAAGAAAAGAAAGAAAGAAAAGAAAAGACAAAATGAATCAAGGAAGAAATGAAATTAAAAACATAAATAATGCCAAACGGAAATTAGAAATAAATGAAAAAAAAAGAAAGAAACGAACGAACGAACGAAATAAATGAAAGAAAATCAAGAAATTGTAAGAAAAATAAATGAAAGAAAAAAAAAAAGTGTAAAGAAAGAAAAGAAAGAAAAAAGACAAAATGAATCAAGGAAGATAAATAAATTAAAAAACATAGTTGATAAATGCGAAACGGAAATTAATGAAAAGAAAAATCAAGAAGAATGAACGAACGAACAAAACGAAAGAAAAAAGAAAGAAAGAACAAAAAGAAAAAAAGAAATAAAGAAAAGGCGAAAGAAAGAAAAAATAAAAGAAAAAAGAATGAAAAAAGTAAGAAAAAAGAAAGAAAGAAAAAAGACAAAATGAATCAAGGAAGAAAATAAAATTAAAAAAAATATAGGAGATAATGCGAAAACGGAAATTAAAAAAAATGAAAGAAGAAAGAACGAACGAACGAAAGAAAGAAAAAAACGAACGAACGAACGAAAGAAAAAAGAAAGAAAAAATCAAGAACAAAAGAAAGAAAAGAAATAAAAAGGAAAGAAAGAAAAGAAAGAAAAATAAATGAAAGAAATAAAAGAAAAGAAAGAATAAAAAAAAAAAAGAAAAATGTAAGAAAAGAAAGAAGAAAATAAAAGAAAGAAAATCAAAATGAATCAAGGAAGAAAATGAAATTAAAAAACAATAGGAGATAATGCAATGAAAGAAAATTAGAAAAGAATGAAAGAAGAAAGAAAAAAAACGAACGAACGAACGAACAGAAAGAAAGAAAGAAAGAAAGAAAAATAAGAAAGAAATAAAAAAGAAAGAAAGAAATAAAGAAGGAAAGAAAAATAAAAAAAAAAAGAAAGAAAGAAAAGAAAGAAAAGAAAGAAAAGAAAGAAAAGAAAGAAAGAAAATGAAAGAAAATGAATCAAGAAGAAAATGAAATTAAAAAACATAGGAGATAATGCAACGAAATTAGAAAAGAATGAAAAAAAAAAGAACGAATAACGAACGAACGAAAGAAAGAAAAAAAGAAAATGAAAGAAAGAAAAAAAAAGAAAACAAAGAATAAAAGAAAGAAAGAAATAAAGAAAATCAAAGAAAGAAAGAAAGAAAAAAGAATAAATGAAAATAAATAAAAAAAAAAAGAAAAAAAGAAAGAAAAAAAAAAAAGTAAGAAAGAAAGAAAGAAAAGAAATAAAGAAAGACAAAATGAATCAAGGAAGAAAATGAAATTAAAAACATAAGGGAATAATGCGAAACGGAAATTAGAAAAAGAAATGAAAGAAGAAAGAACGAACGAACAAAAAGAAAGAAAGAAAAAGAAAGAAAAAAAGAACAAAAATAAGAAAGAAATAAATGAAAGAAAAAGAAAGAAAGAAATAAAAGAAAGAAAAAAAAAAGTAAGAAAGAAAGAAAGAAAAAAGAAAGAAAGAAAGAAAAGACAAAAATGAAAATGAAGAAAATGAAATTAAAAAAAAAAACATAAAGAAATGCAAAAAAATTAGAAAAGAATGAAAGAAGAAAGAACGAACGAACGAACGAAAAGAAAAGAAAGAAAAGAACAAAAAGAAAGAAAAGAAATAAAGAAAAGAAATAAAGAAAGAAAAAAAAAAAAAAAAAAGAAAAGAAAAGAAAGAAAAAAATGAAAAAGAAAGAAAGAAAGAAAGAAAGAAAGACAAAATGAATCAAGGAAGAAAAATGAAATTAAAAAAAATAGGAGATAATGCGAAACGGAAATTAGAAAAGAATGAAAGAAGAAAAGAACGAACGAACGAACGAACGAAAGAAAGAAAGAAAAACAAAGAAAAGAAGGAAAAGAAAGAAAAAAAAATAAAGAATAAATGAAAGAAAAAAAAAAAAGTAAGAAAGAAAGAAAGAAAAAAAAAGAAAGAAAAGAAAAAGACAAAATGAATCAAGGAAAGAAAATGAAAATTAAAAAAACATAGGAGATAATGCGAAAGAAAATTAGAAAAATAATGAAAGAAGAAAAGAACGAACGAACGAACGATAAGAAAGAAAGAAAAAGAAAGAAAAAAGAAAGAAAATAATAAAATGAAAGAAAAAAAAATCAAGAAAATAAGAAAAGAAAGAAAAGAAAGAAAGACAAAATGAGTCATGGAAGAAAATGAAATTAAAAAAATATAGAATAATGCAACGGAAATTAGAAAAGAAATGAAAGAAGAAAGAACGAACGAACGAACGAAAGAAAAAAAGAAAGAAAGAAAGAAAGAAGAAAAGAAAGAAAGAAAGAAAAGAAAGAAAAAAAAAAATAAATGAAAGAAAAAAAAAAAAAGAAAATCAAGAAAAAAAGAAAGAAAGAAAGAAAAATCAAGACAAAAAAAGTCAAGGAAAGAAAATGAAATTAAAAAACATAGGAGATAATGCGAAACGGAAATTAGAAAAGAATGAAAGAAGAAAGAACGAACGAACGAACGAAAGAAAGAAAGAAAGAAAGAAAGAAACAACAAAAGAAAGAAAGATATAAAGAAAGAAATAAAGAAAGAAAGAATAAAAGAAAGAAAGAAAAAAGTAAGAAGGAAAGAAAGAAAGAAAGAAAGAAAGAAAGAGAAAATGAATCAAGGAAGAAAATGAAATTAAAAAAATCAAGGAGATAATGCAAATAAATTAGAAAAAAAGAATGAAAGAAGAAAGAACGAACGAACGAACGAAAGAAAGAAAGAAAGAAAGAAAGAAAGAATAAATGAAAGAAAAAAAAAGTAAGAAAGAAAAAAGAAAGAAAGAAAGACAAAATGAAACATGGAAGACAATGAAATTAAAAAAAAATAGATTGATAATGCAGAAACGGAAATTAGAAAAAATGAAAGAAGAATGAACGAACGAACGAAAGAAAGAAAGAAAGAAAGAAAGAACAAAAGAAAGAAAGAAATAAAGAAAGAAGTAAAGAAAGAAAAAATAAAAGAAAGAAAGAAATAGTAAGAAAGAAAGAAAGAAAATAAAGAAAAGACAAAAATGAATCAAGGAAGAAAATAAAAATTAAAAAACATAGGAGATAATGCCCTAACTGGAAATTAGAAAAGAATGAAAAGAAGAAAAGAACGAACGAACGAAAAGAAAGAAAGAAAGAACGAACGAACGAACGAAAGAAAGAAAAGAAAAGAAAGAAATAAAAGAAAGAAAGAAATAAAGAAAAAAAAAAAAGAAAGAAAGAAAGAATAAATGAAAGAAATAAAAAGAAAGAAAGAATAAAAGAAAAAAAAGAAAAATGTAAGAAAATAAAGAAAGAAAAGAAAGAAAAGAAGACAAAATGAATCAAGGAAGAAAATGAAATTAAAAAACATAGGAGATAATGCGAAACGGAAATTAGAAAAGAATGAAAGAAGAAAGAACGAACGAACGAACGAACGAAAGAAAAGAAAGAAAGAAAGAAAGAACAAAAGAAAGAAAGAAATAAAGAAGGAAAGAAAGAAAGAAAGAAGAAAAGAAAGAAAGAAAGAAAGAAAGAAAGAAAGAAAGAAAGAAAGAAAGAAAGAAAGACAAAATGAATCAAGGAAGAAAATGAAATTAAAAAACATAGGAGATAATGCGAAACGGAAATTAGAAAAGAAATGAAAAAAGAAAAAGAACGAAACGAACGAACAAAAGAAAGAAAGAAAGAAAGAAAGAACAAAAGAAAGAAAGAACAAAAGAAAGAAAGAAATAAAGAAGGAAAAAAAGAAAAGAAAGAAAATAAAGAAAAAATGAAAGAAATAAAGAAAGAAAGAATAAATGAAAGAAACGAAAAAAGAAAGAAAAGAAAGAAAAAGAAAGAAAAGAAAGACAAAAATGAATCAAGGAAGAAAATGAAATTAAAAAACATGGAGAAATGCGAAACGGAAATTAGAAAAGAATGAAAGAAGAAAGAACGAACGAACGAAAGAAAGAAAGAAAGAAAGAAAGAAAAAAAGAAAAAGAAATAAAGAAAGAAATAAAAAAAGAAAGAATAAATAAAAAGAAAGAAAAAAAAAAAAGAAAGAAAAAGAAAGAAAGAAAGAAAGAAAAAAATGAAAAGGAAGAAAAATGAAAAAAAAATAGGAGATAATGCGAAACGGAAATTACTCATGAAAGAAGAAAGAACGAACGAACGAACGAAAGAAAGAAAAGAAAAAAGAAAAAAAAGAAAACAAAAGAAAGAAAGAAACAAAGAAAGAAATAAAGAAATTTTTCCTGAAAGAAAGAAAGAAAATTGATAAGAAAGAAAGAAAGAAAGAAAGAAAGAAAAGAAAGACAAAATGAATCAAGGAAGAAAATAATGTTTAAAAACATAGAGATAATGTCGAAACAAAAATTAGAAAAGAATGAAAAAGAAAAAGAACGAACGAACGAAACGAAAAGAAAATCAAGAAAGAAAGAAAAAACGAATAAAGAAAAAATGAAAGAATAAAGAAAAAAAAAAAAAAACCATTTGGAAAGAAAGAAAAGAAAGAAAGAAAGAAAGACAAAATGAATCAAGGAAGAATGAAAAATTAAAAAACAGTAGATAATGCGAAACGGAAAAGAATGAAAAAAAAAGAAAGAAGAAAAAACGAACGAACGAAAGAAAGAAAAGAACGAAATGAAAACGAAAGAAAGAAAAAGAAAGAAAAAAGAAAAAAGAAATAAAGAAGGGAAAAAGAAAAGAAAGAAAGAAAGAAAGAAAGAAAGAAAAGAATAAATGAAAGAAAATAAAGAAAGAAAGAATAAAAGTAAGAAAGAAAAAAGAAAGAAAGAAAGAAAGAAAGAAAAAGAAAGACAAAATGAATCAAGGAAGAAAAAAAAAATTAAAAAAACATAGGAGATAATGCGAAACGGAAATTAGAAAAGAATGAAAAGAAAGAAAGAAAGAACGAACGAACGAAAGAAAAAGAAAGAAATAAAAGAAAGTTAAGAAAGAAAAGAAAGAAAAGAAAGAAAAAAAGAAAAGAAAGAAATAAAGAAAGAAAAAAGAAGAAAGAAAGAAAGAAAGAATAAATGAAAGAAATAAAGAAAAGAAAGAATAAAAGAAAGAAAGAAAAAGATAAGAAAGAAAGAAAGAAAAAAGAAAGAAGAAAGAAAAAAGAAAATGAATCAAGGAAGAAAATAAAATTAAAAAACATAGGAGATAATGCGAAACGGAAATTAGAAAAGAATGAAAGAAGAAAGAACGAACGAACGAAAGAAAGAAAGAACGAACGAACGAACGAAAGAAAGAAAGAAAGAAAGAAAGAACAAAAGAAAGAAAGAAATAAAGAAGGAAAGAAAGAAAGAAAGAAAGAATAAATGAAAGAAATAAAGAAAGAAAGAATAAAAGAAAGAAAGAAAAAAATTTTTAAAGAAAGAAAGAAAAGAAAGAAAGACAAAAATGAATCAAGGAAGAAAATGAAATTAAAAAACATAGGGAGATAATGCAGAAATGGAAATTAGAAAAGAATGAAAGAAGAAAGAACGAACGAACGAACGAAAGAAAGAAAGAAATAATGAAAGAAAGAAAGAACAAAAGAAAGAAAGAATAAAAGAAAGAAAGAAATAAAGAAGGAAAGAAAGAAAGAAAGAAAGAAAGAAAGAATAAATGAAAGAAATAAAGAAAGAAAGAATAAAAGAAAGAAAGAAAAAAGTAAGAAAGAAAGAAAGAAAGAAAGAAAGACAAAATGAATCAAGGAAGAAAAAAAATTAAAAAACATAGGAGATAATGCGAAACGGAAATTAGAAAAGAATGAAAGAAGAAAGAACGAACGAACGAACGAAAGAAAGAAAGAAAGAAAGAAAGAAAGAACAAAAGAAAGAAAAAAATAAAGAAAGAAATAAAGAAAGAAAAAATAAAAGAAAGAAAGAAAAAAGTAAGAAAGTAAGAAAGAAAGAAAGAAAGAAAGAAAGACAAAATGAATCAAGGAAGAAAATGAAATTAAAAAACATAGGAGATAATGTCTTCAACGGAAATTAGAAAAAATGAAAAAGAAGAAAGAAAGAACGAAAGAAAGAAAGAACGAACGAACGAACGAAAGAAAGAAAGAAAAATAAAGAAAGAAAGAACAAAAAAGAAAGAAAGAAATAAAGAAGGAAAAGAAAGAAAGAGAGAAAGAAAGAAAGAATAAAATGAAAAAATAAAGAAAGAAAGAATAAAAAAAGAAAAAAAAAAGTAAGAAAGAAAGAAAGAAAAGAAAGAAAAGAAAGACAAAATGAATCAAGGAAGAAAATGAAATTAAAAAACATAGAGATAATGCGAAACGGAAATTAGAAAAAGAATGAAAGAAGAAAGAACCAACGAACGAACAGACGAAAGAAAGAAAGAAAGAACAAAAAGAAAGAAAGAAATAAAAAGAAGGAAAAAAAGAAAGAAAAGAAAGAAAAGAAAGAAGAAAGTAAAGAAAAAAGAAAGAAAAAAAAGAAAGAAAATAAAGAAAGAAAAAAATGAATCAAGGAAGAAAATGAAATTAAAAAACATAGGAGATAATGCGAAACGAAATTAGAAAAGAAAAAGAAGAAAGAACGAACGAAACGAAATAAAAAAAGAAAGAAAGAAAGAAAGAACAAAAGAAAAGGAAGAAATGAGAAAGAAATAAAAAAGAAAAATAAAAGAAAGAAAGAAAAAAAGCAAGAAAGAAAGAAAGAAAAAAAAAGAAAGAAAATGAATCAAGGAAGAAAATGAAATTAAAAAAAACATAGGAGGTAATGCAAACGGAAATTAGAAAAAGAATGAAAGAAGAAAGAACGAAAAAGAAAGAAAAGAAAGAACAAACGAACGAACGAAAGAAAGAAAGAAAGAAAGAAAGAAAAGAAAGAAAGAAAGAAAGAAAGAAAGAATAAATGAAAGAAATAAAAAGAAAGAAAGAATAAAAAGAAAAAGAAAAAAAGAAAAAAGAAAGAAAGAAAAGAAAGAAAGAAAGAAAGACAAAATGAATCAAGGAAGAAAATGAAATTAAAAAACATAGGAGATAATGCGAAACGAAATTAGAAAAGAATGAAAGAAGAAAAGAACTACGAACGAAAGAACGAACGAAACGAAAAGAAAGAAAGAAAGAAAAAGAAAAGAACAAAAAAGAAAGAAATAAATAAATAAAGAAAGAAAGAAAGAAAGAATAAATGAAAGAAATAAAGAAAGAAAGAATAAAAGAAAGAAAGAAAAAAGTAAGAAAGAAAGAAAGAAAGAAAGAAAGACAAAATGAATCAAGGAAGAAAATGAAATTAAAAAACATAGGAGATAATGCGAAACGGAAATTAGAAAAGAATGAAAGAAGAAACAACGAACGAACGAACGAACGAACGAAAGAAAGAAAGAAAAGAAAGAACAGAAGAAAGAAAGAAATAAAAGAAGGAAAAGAAAGAAAGAAAAGAATAAATGAAAGAAAGAAAAGAAAAGAAAAGAAAGAAAGAAAGAAAGACAAAATGAATCAAAAAAAAAAAAATTAAAAAACATAAAAACGGAAATTAGAAAAGAATGAAAGAAGAAAGAACGAACGAAACGAAAGAAAAAAAGAAAAAAGAAAGAAAGAACAAAAAGAAAGAAAAAATAAAGAAAGAAAAAAAAGAAAGAAAAAAAAATAAAAGAAAGAAAGAAAAAGTAAGAAAGTAAAAAAAAGAAAGAAAGAAAGAAAGAAAGACAAAATGAATCAAGGAAGAAAATGAAATTAAAAAACATAGGAGATAATGCGAAACGGAAATTAGAAAAGAATGAAAGAAGAAACAACGAACGAACGAACGAACGAACGAAAGAAAGAAAGAAAGAAAGAACAGAAGAAAGAAAGAAATAAAGAAGGAAAGAAAGAAAGAAAGAATAAATGAAAGAAAGAAGAAAGTAAGAAAGAAAGAAAGAAAGAAAGAAAGACAAAATGAATCAAGGAAGAAAATGAAATTAAAAAACATAGGAGATAATGCGAAACGGAAATTAGAAAAGAATGAAAGAAGAAAGAACGAACGAACGAAAGAAAGAAAGAACGAAAGAACAAAAGAAAAAAGAAAGAAAGAAAGAACAAAAGAAAGAAAGAATAAAAGAACGAAAGAAAAAAGAAAAAAGAAAGAAAAAATGAATAAAGGAAGAAAAAATCGAAGAATAAATGAAATAATGCGAAACGGAAATTAGAAAAGAATGAAAGAAGAAAGAACGAAAGAAAGAAAGAAAGAAAGAAAGACAAAATATAATAAAGGAAAAAAAAAAGAAATAAAAAATATAGTAGATAGTGTGAAAAGGAAATTAGAAAAGAATGAAAGAAGAAAGAAAGAAAGAACAAAAGAAGGAAATAAAGACAAAATGAATAAAGGAAGAAAAAAATAAAAAATATAGGAGAAATGGAAATGAGAAAAGAATGAAAGAAGAAAGAACGAAAGAAAGAAATAAAAGTAAAAAATATAGAAGATAGTGTGCAAACAAAATTTAAAAAAGAATGAAAAAAGAAAGACCAAACGAAAGAAAAAAAAGAAAGGAAGAATGAAGGAAGTAAGGAATAAAAGAAAGAAACTGAAAAATATAGAAGTGTGAAATAGAAATTAAAAAAGAATTAAAGAAGAAAGACATGCGGAAAAAACAAAAGAAAAAAAAATGAATGAATGAAAGAAAAATAGAAAAGGTGGGAGATTGTGTAAAAAGGAAATTAAAAATGGATGTAAAGAAGAAAGAACGAACGAAAGCAAAAAAAGAAAGAAAAAAGGAAATTGAAAAATGTAGGAGATGGTGCGAAAAAAGAAATTAAAAAAGAAAGAAAGAACAACGGAAAGAAAGAAAGAACAAAAGAAAGAAAGAAAGAAAGAAAGAAAGAAAGAAAGAAAGAAAGGAAAACAAAGAAATTGAAAAATGTAGGAGATGGTGTGAAAAAGAAATGAAAAAAAGGAAGAAAGAAAGACAGAAAGAAAGAACAAAAGAAAGAAAGAAAGAAAGAAAGAAAGAAAGAAAGAAAGAAAGGAAAACAAAGCCATTGAAAAATATAGGGGATGGTGTGAAAAGAAAATTAAAGAAAGAAAGGTAGAAAGAAAGGAAAACAAAGAAATTGAAAATATAGATGGGGTGAAAAGGAAATTAAAGAAAGAAAGAAAGAAAGAAAGAAAGAAAGAAAGAAAGAAAGTAGAAAAAAGAAAGAAAGGAAAACAAAGAAATTGAAAAATGTAGGAGATGGTGTGAAAAAGGAATTAAAAAAGAAAGAAAGAAAGACAGAAAAAGAAAGAAAGAAAGAAAGAAAGAAAGAAAAGAAAGAAAGAAAGGAAAACAAAGACATTGAAAAATATAGGGGATGGTGTGAAAAGAAAGAAAGAAAGAAAGAAAGAAAGAAAGAAAGAAAGAAAGAAAAAAAAAGAAAGAAAGGAAAACAAAGAAATTGAAAAATGTAGGAGATGGTGTGAAAAGAAAATGAAAGAAAGAAAGAAAGAAAGAAAGAAAGAAAGAAAGAAAGAAAGAAAGTAGAAAAAAGAAAGAAAGGAAAACAAAGAAATTGAAAAATGTAGGAGATGGTGTGAAAAGAAAATTAAAGAAAGAAAGAAAGAAAGAAAGAAAGAAAGAAAGAAAGAAAGAAAGAAAGAAAGTAGAAAAAAGAAAGAAAGGAAAACAAAGAAATTGAAAAATGTAGGAGATGGTGTGAAAAGAAAATTAAAGAAAGAAAGAAAGAAAGAAAGAAAGAAAGAAAGAAAGAAAGGAAACAGAAAGTAAGAAAAACAAAGAAATTGAAAAATGTAGGAGATGGTGTGAAAAGAAAATTAAAAAAAGAAAGAAAGAAAGAACAAAAGCAAGAAAGAAAGAAAAAAAGGAAAGAAAGAAATAAAGAAAGAAAAAATAGAAATTGTAAAAAATAGAGATAGTAGGAAAGGAAATTAAGCAGTACAGAAATAAATAAAGTAAAAAGCAAACACAAAACAAAATGGCACACTAAAAAAAGTCCAATTTGTCATTGCAATTAGGGCTTAAAAGGGTTTCCTCTCCGTTTGAAAAAGATGACTTCCTGGTAAAGATTATCGATTTGCTAAAAGTAAGGTTTGTAAAAGAAAGCAAACGACATTGTCAGCTCGGTAAAATGGCGGTGTAAAATAACATTTCGATTAGTTGTTAATCTTTTTCAAGAGTACAATTTCATGCTAATGTATTTTTAGACGAATATAAACAGTGCGAGTCGAGAACTCTATAAATTATGGTTTCAGAGACTAGAAATATTCACAGAACTGAAGTAATGTTATTTTAATGATTTCTAGATATTTTTCATCTGTTTTTCCCTTTTGCCTTTTCAACGTTCCTTCAGGCAGCCATTTTCTTTTCTTTTTCTTTTTTTTTTAAACGGGTCTTTTCCTGTATTCCTATCTCTCATTCCTACGCCGCTTTCATTTTAGCATTGTTCCTTTCTCCACTCAGCGTTCTATCATTTCTTTATCTCCATCCTTGAAATTTTCTTTTGAATTGGGACGTCCTTTATCAGTTACTTTATTCTTTCGTTCACATCTTCGGTAAATGTTTAAAAAAACAAAAAAAAAAAAAAAAAATAAAATTAGATAGCTCACAATGTGTTGATGGCATACACAGAATAATATGTGGAAACTCCGAGACATAGAAACAGGAAGAAATGTTTAACAATCAATTGTAAGAAGACAAAATATATGATCGTTAGCAAGTGGAACAATCGAAGATGCCGGCAACAAATTGAAGACGATTGTTTCAGTGTTCTATCTTTTCTTTGCTTTCATCCTTGAATCTGACTTTTGAATTGGGACGTCCTTTCTCAGTTACTTTCGTCTTTCGTTCATATCTTGGGTAAATGATTACGAAAAATAGATAGCTCTTAATATATTGATAGCATACACAGAATAAAAACTGGAAACTCCGAGATAAGGAAATCAGTAAGAGATGTTTAATAATCAATTGTAAGAAGACAACATATACAATCGTTAGCAAGGTCGACAGACGAAGATGCCGGCAACAAATTTCAGACGACAGTGTCGAGAAAAGTACAGCAATCTAAATATCTGGTAAGATTTATAGCCTGTGCATACGCGTTGGTTTAATGAATAGCACCTCCGAATGAGAAATCGGTGTGTAGAGTTCGAATTCAAGTCGAGTTTGTTATATTCACTTAGAAGGAAATAGCTTTGGGAAAAGTGTGGATTCACATCTTCTCTCCCAGTTATGGGTTAATTAGTAAAATTTTATCACTAAACTAGTATTATCTTAAATGCTTTCTTGGCTTTAAATAACCTGAAAATGTTTGGTAAGCCGTAGAAAACGAATCAAACAAACTTGACAACTGCGAAGTCCTGCCCAAATATTCCATAGCTGGCGTGTTTGTGTAGAAATCCCTTATGATACGCCTTGGGAAAGGCCTTCGTGATATCTAAAGTCATCGCTCTCGTGGTCCATTTATTATCAACCAATGATTTTTATGACATCAGCAATGAACCTGGACGAGCGAAAACTCAGTGCAACACTCTTTCCCCGTCTCTCAATTCTTTATTTAGCTTTTCGAAAGCATCTTTTCCTATTCTATTGTAATTTCAGGTATCTGTGTCACATTTTCTGTCGTCTGTTTTAAAACTTTTCGATAACGATCGCGAACGAATAGCGTGATCTATTAGGGTCGTAGGGTCACTATGTGTAATGCAGCCGTAGAAGCAGTGGTGTATCTAAGGCAAGAAAACCTGACGTATCCCAACCCTCTCCAAGTTGGTTTAAACTTAGCACTTTTCTTTCTGTATCTGTCTATATTTCTGAGATGAGGTATTATGTACACAATTTACATTATTCGGACTATTTTCCTCATGTTTGTCGCCATGATTGCCGATAAAAAAATACACTTTCAAACTGTTAAACTACCAAGACATAGAAAATATGTCGAATTCATTAAATTCACTTACGTGCAGATACCTGGGAAGAGGCATAAGTCCATCTTTCCCTTCAGCTTTGAGTTAAATAGCATGACAATCTGGGCCCTATATACTTAGTTGGCAATGAGTGTAGGAAGAAAAAACCTCAAGGACACATGGCGCAGTTGATAAAAGCGTTAGTTAGATCCAGTGACAGGACCCAAAGAGTGTGAGTTCAATACCTGGTTAAGGCAGTGGAGAATTTTCAGAGGGGAATTAACTGGTGATAACTGACATCCATGGCACGTGGAACTAGAACAGTCTACCCCAGTGAGCGAAATAAAGGGTTCAGTTCGAAATTCCAACCACCTGAAGAAGGCCGGAGCGTACAACGGCCGAAACGTTGTGATAAACATGGCGACAAAGATGAGGAAAATAGTCCGAATAATGTAAATAGTACTACTCGTTCGCGATCGTTATCGAAAAGTTTTAAAACAAACGACATAAAATGTGACATAGTTACCTGAAATTACAATAGAATAGGGAAAGATGCTTTCGAAAAACTAAATAAAGTATTGAGAGATGGGAAAAGAGTGTTGCACTGGGATGTAATTAT